CTCTTCAAAGCCGAGCATATGATTCTTCTCCGAAATGATTAACTTGAGTAAAAATTTTCTTTATTCGGTGATATTACCACTTATATGATACATAATATAATGTTGTATGCTGTGGATATACATGTTTGTATCATATCACCTCTTCCTGGTTATAAATTTCTTAAAGGAGATAATTCAATCTATGTGAGCATGCCCACAAATACACCCTGCTAATATACAGCCCAGGTGCAGCCATGTGCACCTGGGACATAATTGACAAATAAAATTAATAAATACATGAAATGATAGAAAACGGTGAAACAAAGTTTCTAAAATGTATTTAAATGCTAGCATTCTTTCACTTCCAGTTATTTTGTCATAAAAGGTATCTTTATTTTTCCTTGATAAGAACAAAAGACTCTAAGAATATGAAGATTGGTCCATATGTTTGTATTGTTAATTGTATTTTTATAAGTTTGTGCCATATTTTATCTAATACTCAAATTTAACCTAGTTTTATACTCTTTATTCCACATTTTAAAAACATAAACTTAAATTACAAAAAGATATTATTTAAAAATAAGATGAAAAAGCAATTTGAGTTTGTGGGTTAGAGAATGGTTATTAGTGATGTTAGTCAGGGATGATCTGGCATGATCTAACACAGTTTTACTTTTCGTAGACATTTAACCAGCTTCCCTGAAAGCAAATAGTAAAAATTGTTCTTCTAGGCAAACATTGACTGACTTGGACAAGAATAGAAAAGTTCTCAAACTAATATCACTAGTCTATTTAATAATTAATCATTTTTAACTATTTTAACTATTATCATTCACTATTCTTTATAAACTGTATCAGACTTGCATAAAACTATAAATGTGGAAACACATACCAAAATCTTCTCACTTTTTTCTAGGAACTTGTTTGAAGCAAAAGATTTCAACGATATTACATAATCCATACACTTAATAAAATAAATTGAATCTGAATTAAAAAAGAAAAACAAAACACAACTTTTGCAGCCTGGCGTGGTGGCTCACCTCTGTAAGGCCAAGGTTGGTGGATCACCTAAGGTCAAGAGTTCAAAATCAGCCTGACCAACATGGCGAAACCTCATCTCTAGTAAAAATACTAAGTTAGCTGGATGTGGTGATGCCTGCCTGTAATCCCAGCTACTCGGGAGGCTAAGGCAGGAGAATTGCTGGAACCCGGGAGGTGGAGGTTGCAGTGGGCTGAGATTATGCATTGCACTCCAGCCTGGGCAAGAAGAGTGAAACTCTGTCTCAAAAAAAAAAAAAAAAAAAAAAACACTTTTGCCTTATTTTAGGACTTTTAAAAAATTACGGATTTTGTAAGTTAAAGTATTTTATTTTAACATAATTATTTTCACATGCCATTGTAATAAATAATACAGCGAGATCACATATATTCACCCAGTTTTCCTCACTGGCGCTATTTTATAAAACTATAGCTCAAGAAAACAACCAGGATATTGACATTTACATAATCAAAATAGAAAGAATTTCCATCTCCACAAAGATCCTCTTGTTCCATACAAATTTTAAAAAGCTGCTCCCATTTCCCTCCTTTTCTCCTGGAAACTTCTAATCTCTTCTCCATTTCTTTAATTTTGTCATTTTGAGAATGTTATGTAGATGAAATCAGACAATCATATTTTGGAACTTTTTTTTTTTTCATTTGGCATAATTTTGAACTTGTTCCATAAAATTAAAAAAGCTGCTCTCATTTTCCTCCTTTTCTCCTAGAAACTACTAATCTCTTCTCCATTTCTTTAATTTTGTCATTTTGAGACTCTTACATAGATAAAATCATAAAAACAGTCATATTTTGGGACTTGTTTTTCATCTGGCATAATTCTGAAGATTTATTCAGGTTGCTGTCTATATATCAAAAGCTCGTTACTTTTTATTGCTAAAAATTTATTTCAAGGTATGAATGTACCACAGTTTGTCTAGCCATTCACCCTTTGATTCACCCTTTGAAGAACATCTGGACTGTCTCAGTTATTGACTATTATAAATATAAAACTGTTGCAAATATTCTCATACACGTTTCTATGTAAACATTATTTTTTATTTATCTGGAATAAATGTCCTGAAGCACTTGCCTAGTGAAATTTAATGGTTGGGTCAGATGGTAGCATATGCTTAGTTTTTAGGGAAACTGTAAAAATATCTTCATAAGTAGCTATACCATTATACATTCCAACAGCAATATATGAATGATCTAGTTTCTCTGCATGCTTGCCACCATTTGGAACTGTCATTTTTTTTTTAAGAAGAAGAAAGAAAAAGAGAGAGAAAGAAAGGGAAAAAATGAAAGAGAAAAAGAAAGAGGAAGAGAAAGAGGGAGAAAGAGAAGAAAGGAAGAAAAAGAAAAGAAAGAAAAAGAAAGAGAAAGAAAGAATAAAAGAATAAATGAGAGAAAGAAAGAAGAAGAGAAAGAGGGAGAGAGAATGGGAATCTTGCTCTATTGCCCACGCTAGAATGCAGTCTAAAAATGGGTATTAAAAACCTCTTTTATGCCCATAAATGTGCTTAACAATGAAGACAGGAAGGAATAAGGGAGGAAAATAACAAACAAGCAGCCAACCAATATTTCATTTAAACCCGTGAAATGCTATTGAATTACTAAGGAGTGATTTACTTCCAATTATGTAGTCATTTTTAGAATAGGTGTGATGTGATACTGAGAAAATGTATGTTTTGTGGATTTGGGGTGGGGTGTTCTGTAAATGTTTATTACGTTTAGTTATTTCAGGTCTGAGTTCAAGTCCTGGATATCCTTGGTAACTGTCACTTTAAAAAAAAAATCATTCTGATAAATTCATAGTGATATTCTATTGTACTTTCAATTTGCTTTTACTTATTGGCTAGAAATGTTAAAATATTTTCATCTACTTAATTGCCATCTGTAAATCTTCAGTGAAATGTTTCTTTATGTCTGGGCCTATTTTCTGATTATATAGTTGTGTTTTTGTAATAGTTGTTTTTAACTGTTCAGTTTAAAGAATTCTTTATATATGATTGTTGGTCCTTTGTCGAACATGGGAATTGCAAATATTTTCTTCTAGACTGTAACTTGTCTTTTTAGCCCGAAAACAGGGTCTATCATAGAGAAATAATTTGTCCTGCTATGGACTGTGTTTTTGGTATGCATTTTTAGAACTCTTGGCTGGGCATGATGGCTCTCGCCTGTAATCCCAGCACTTTGAGAGGTCATGGTGGGCAGATCATGAGGTCAGGAGTTCGAGACCAGTCTGGCCAACATACTGAAACCATGTCTCTACTAAAAATACAAAAAATGAGCCAGGCATGGTGGTGGGCACCTGTAATCCCAGCTACTTGGGAGATTGAGGCAGGGCAATTGCTTGAACCCAGGAGGCAGAGGTTGCAGCAAGCTGAGATCATGCCATTGCACTTCAGCCTAAGCAACAATGCTAGACTCTGTCTCAGAACCAAACAAAAAAATAAACAAACGCTCTTGCCCTAGCCTTAAATTCCAAAGATGTTTTTCTAAAAGTTTTATAGATTTACACTTTACATTTAAAAGCATGATCCTTTCTGAGTTTGTATAAGGTGTGTGACTTAAGCCAATATGATGCTTTTGTTTTTGTAGGCTTTTTTTTTTTATTATTTTTTGCCTATGGATATCTCATTGTTCTGGCACTAGTCGTTGAAAACACTGTCCTCCATTAAACTGCTTGTGCACTTTTGCCAAGATTCTATTAGGCATGGTTGTGAGGGCCTATTTCTAGGTTCTCTCTTCTCTTTCATTGACCTATGTGTCTGTCCTACTGCCAGATCCAGTCTTCATTACAATAACTTCCCAAACCTGATTTTTTAAGGCTCATGATCAGTTTAATATAGCAGACTTTTCAAGCTTAAATTACTTAGATAAACAATTTTATGTTAAAAACTTTCTAGCATATTATAATATTTTTGTTTATAAAATTCAAGTATTTTTCTTACTATAACATATGATTTACAAAATCCAAATGAATAAAGACAACCCAAAGCAAAAGATAAGAAAACATGCCAATATCTATAATATGAAAAGATGACTTTGACTAAAATCCCCATCTTTTACAGCATAAATTACTACTTTTAGTCAAAAAATAAAATGTAAAAAATACAGCATATGTATATTCCAAAAGACTAAAACCATCAAATAGCTGTTGTTTAGAACTGTGAAATTCCATGTGTTCAAAAGGCTTTAAAAGCATTATCTGAGACTTCCTGCCTTAAGTCCATAAATTTTTATTATTCGTCTTGGAGCTCATAAACTTTCTTGAATGATCTCCAGTCATTTATTCTTTACAGATACTAATCTGCTGACCTGCCTTTCCAACATTTACTTTACTTTTTAACTGTGCAAATGATATCTAAGTACAAAATACTCAACAACCACACATATTGCTCTAATTGTGTTTTAGGGCTCACATGGAATAAGGAAACATTAATTTCAATTAGAACATTTTATTTGTTCAGAATTAATTTATTGGCTTTCCCCATTTGCAAAATTTTCTGCAACCCAAGCTGACATTCAAACACCACTAAAGAATCCATTGACCACAATCTGAATCAATTTTTTCAGCAGCTTCCTTCCCAATATACGCATTTGAAGCTCAAGACACAGTGACTAGAAAAGTCTCTAATCTGTACACACATGAAACACTCAAGTATATAGTAAGGCTTATCCTGAAACTTTCACAAGCCCACATTTGTTGGATTTGCTAAACTCTGCCACATTCTCCTTTGCCAAGAGATGTACTTGGGTCAGCACAGGCACATGGCAAATTGTCCCAATTATTTGATAGCCAGCTATGAAAGACATTTGGACATTATCTTCAAACATCTTTTGTGCAAAGTAGTCATTACTGTACTTCTGTAGTTACTGGATATGCCAGATTTTGCTTAGGTGAGTTATAGCTGAGCAAAATTATGAATTGTCACCCAATGCATCACAAAGAAAACTATTCTCAAAGATCATTCCTTTACCTGTTTGACATCATATGCCAGAAGGACATATTTTAAATCTGGTGAAACTGAATGTCTTGATGCTTTGAAGGTTACCTAGACAAAGAAAAAAAAAAAAACAGTTATCTTTAAAAGCTTTTTAACATTAATTTGGAGTATAAATGTAAAAAAAAAAAACACTCAATTCTCATAGCACTACAAAATGGCATTCACATTTCTTTTATATTATATATATATTTGCGTGTATGTATGCATGATTATTCAGATGAATATAAAATCTCAAACAAGACATATTAGACACTTCAGTAAGACAACATTTGCTAATATATCTTCTTATATGTTAGCTCTTAAAAAATGCTAACATTTTTGTTTCTTAAAAAATTCAAAGGCCCACTGAAATTCCTACATAACCAAAATGCTTTTATATTTGTATGCTAGATTCATCAAAAGGAAAAGAAGTATTGACATTCTGTTTGTAATAATTTTCTGTCACTATTTTTGTATTCTTAGTGGTTGAATGTTTATATTTAAAGAAGATACTAACATTCAAGGCAGACTCTCTTTAAAGGAAATACCTAGGGTGAAACAGATTAAAACACAAATACATAACATTGCGTTTGATGTCAAACAAAAACTGTTGCACTGTACTTGACTAATCTTGAGCCTATAATCAAAAAATTAAACAAATTTGATGATAGAGGAATTTAAACTACACAATGAAACATAAATACAATCAATGTAGAGCAAAGATTTCATATGAAATAGAGGTATTTTTCTAATTCATATCTAAAGAGTGGGCAAGCACATTGAGTTGATGTATCAAAAACCTCCAAAATATAAACAAAAAAAACCACAAAATGAATTGTATAAAATGTTAAGCAAAATAGATACTTTGCATGGTATTTGCAGAGAAATACATGCATAAACATTTGTAGACACCTTATGGTAGTATAGTTTTCATAAGACTGCTCTCTATAAAATTCTGAAAAGTGTGAAGTCAGAGTTTCTTTGTTTTGTTTGGTTTGTTGGTTTGCTTGTTTGTTTTACATAGGGGACTCCAAAACACAATGGATAGGATAAGAAACTCAGACTAATCAGTATTTGGAAAATTTGGGTGGTATAAAAAAAGATATAGTTGGTCTTTGTCTCTGGTTCTCAGCACAGAGCTCCGGAAACCCTTGAAATTTCCTGAGTGAAGAAATGTCTTTTGTTATTCATAGCAAATTTCTTTCCAAGTTATCCAATTTCTGCAACATCAGTCGACTCTTTGTGAGGGGAGGCATTAGCTTACAGTCTCAGGATTAAGCTGTTCATCAGATTACATCAAGCATGTGATTGCAAGTTTAGAAAATTCAGCCCCATTCTAAGACCTAGTAAGAGAGAAGAGCCGGAGATTTGAGTTCAAGCCACTGGTCAGTGATCCAGTAACTCATGCCTAAGTAAAGAAACCTTGCTAAGAAATTCTGAATGATGAGGATTGAGGGAACTTCCTGGTTGGTAAACATGGATGCACTGGTAGGGTGATGTACACCAGTTCCAAATAGGAAGAGTCTTCTGTGCTGGAGACCCCTTCAGACAACACCCTGTATATTTCTTCATCTAGCTGTTCATTTGTACCCTTTACAATAAACTGCTACTCATAAGTATAGCTCTTGTCTGAGCTCTCTGAGTCATTCTAAGAAATTCTCTAGCCTGAAAAGGAATAATGAGAACCCTCACATTTGTAACGAGGTTGGACATAATTCAGTACCTTTGGGACCAGGGCCTGGCATCTGGTATCTGAGGTGAGGACAGATGAGGGGAATTGAGCTACTTAACTGTGGGATCTATGCTAATTCCTGGTTGTCTCAGAATTGAACTGAATTATAGAGCACTCAGTTGGTATCAGAGTATTGTTGGAATGACATAACTTGTTAATTCCTGAGCCAGATATGTAAGAGAATGGAATGGTCAGGGAGACATCATCATACGGCAATGCTAAGATTTGGGGATTTACGCCTATCTTGCACAATCTACATATAAGGCATTTTAGAAGAAGATGAGAGTGTTCACTGGCAATAATTCATGTCTAGAATTCTGTTTTTGTTATTTAAAAATTCCATTTAAACAACCATGAAAATAACAACATTAGCAGCTACAATTGATTAGTCATCTATCAGGTGATCTGCAAATTGCTAGGAACTTTGCAGTTATCAACAATCTTAAATAGTCTTCAGGGAAGTAAGTACTATAATACAACCTCATTCTTTGTCTCATCACTTTATTGTATATTGAAATTTGATAATTTGATAGAAATTAACCTATGGGGAATTTAGGGTGACATTGAAAACACAAAGGCATCTTTCCCAACATTATAGTATCAGGAGGTGTTTTTTTTTTTTGAGACAGAGTTTTCACTCTTGTTGCCTAGGCTGGAGTGCAAAGGCATGATCGTGGCTCATGGCAACCTTCACCTCCTGGGTTTAAGCAATTCTCCTGCCTCAGTCTCTAGAGTAGCTAGGATTATTGACATGCACCACCATGCCCAGCTAATTGTGTATTTTTAGTAGAGATGGGATTTCTCCATGCTGGCCAGGCTGGTCTTGAACTTCTGACCTCAGGTGATCCACTTGCCTCGGCCTCCCAAAATGTTGGGATTATAGGTATAAGCCACTGCACCCAGTCTGAGGCATATTGTTCTTAAAGAAGTGTTTAAGGGAACAGTATCAAATGGTATGCTGTTATGTAGAAATTGGTAAGGCATGTCATCATGCCTTTCCTACAGTGATTAGAAAATTCCAATATTGCAGTTCTTACACCTTTCTCAAGGTCAGAGAGAAGCATACATAAGAAGACGATCCAGGAGGGCCTCTTTTCATAAGTCTTGTATTATCTCACTAGCAAAAAAAATTGTTTTTTTTTTTAATAGAGCTTCTCTGTCTAAAATCTGAATTCATTTAAAGGAAATCACACCTCCCTTTTCCTCATCCACCCTCATGTGATGTTCCTTACACAAATTAACTTCACGCTTTCACAGGTGCGTCTGTGCCTCCCGTAACAACATTTTAGTACCTTTTACAGTTCCTACAATTATCTAGTCTGGCACTTTATTAATTATCACTCTACTGCCTCAAGCTTACGCAGCACACAAACTGGGAAACTTTCCAAATATCTTTTCAGGGGCCCAAGCTGCTGAACCTTCTCTGAAATTAAAGAGTTGTGGGCAGGTCACTGGTGCGGCAGAGACACTTACTGATGATACATGAATAAGAAACACACCTTGGCAGCTTAGCCAAGATCCCAGGAGATGTTGGAAATCTTAGGTCACTCCATCTTGGTTTACGCCCTTAATGTTATCATTTGTTGCATTTGGGGGATTAATTCTTTCTAGCAGGAACAGAAGACACTTTGGTCAACACTGATTCTAACTGTAGACCTTAAATAGTTCTGGTTGAATTTCAACTTGATATGGCTTCAAATTGTGGTTTGGGGAAGTTGATTACTGCCAATAATGCTATTACAGTACTTACATATTTAACAACTTAATTACCATTGAAATGAAAGGATGCAGAAGTAATTTCCACGTGTTCATTGCCATTACTCAGCAATGATGCCTGCCTGTGCGGTTTTTGACATTCAACAAAGGGCATACAAATGCATGAATCCTGCCATCTATGTACATTCTGTTGAAGGCAGGCAAGGTATCATAAACAGAGTACACAAATACGCAGTGATTAACTAGATGAATTAAGCAAGAAAGACAAGGCACTTGATCAAGTAGGGAAAAAAATACACAATGCATGCTTTCAGGCAGCTTAAGAACATGTTATGGTACCTCTTTTGTATGTATCATTCCATTCCAGCAAATCTTATGTATAGAACATGCACTGTACAACAAGTGCCACGGGAAGGGAGACACGGAAAGTGCTACAGAGTTGGGAAACCAAACCCACTAGGAAGTTTTCCACTCCATATTGATCAGGATAAGACAAGTGCCATGAACCTCTTTAGTCAATGTTAGAGCAAGTGTCCAAAACATGAATGCTTTAAACCACTGGGTATGCAGAGTAAGAATGGAGCTATCTGAGTAAGAATCTAAGAGAGATGGAGTAGTCAGACTGCCTATTTAAAAGAGCTCAGTATCTCCACAGCTCTGGATACATACTGTCTTATAGAAAAATACAGTGCTTCTAGTTTTCAATTTTTTTTCAAAAAAGGTTAGAAATCAACATTTACCTTCTGAGCTCATAATTTTTAAATTATAATTCAATTTTTTTAAATATACTTGGCAGCCAGATACTGTCTGGAGCCTATAAGTTTGGCAATTTTTGGTAAAGGAATAATTGCCATAAGGATGGGTGAGGAGAAAGAAGACAACGCTATGAGGTTTAGAAAGCAGAATTGTATCCTTTTCATATATTTGGTGGTAATATATATGAAAATTTATCTTTTAGTGTTTTTGAGTTAAATGCCATTACAGCCTACAATATAAGCACAACCTTCAAAAAATGCGCAAGTGGCTTATAAACAATTACTGGGAAAATGAGGGATGATTCCATTAATTACTGCTATTACATATAAAGCATGCATTACTGCCAACATGAATATGCCAGAGCTTATCACTGTTTCCACGAGTGGTAAAACTGAAAGTGAAGAAAGAAGCAAAATCAGGTTTGAATATAGAACTATTACCTTGTCAATTCGGTGGAAAACTAGTTAGATTTGATGACATTTTGATTTCATGAGAGCTTGGTAAGAGGCTAATGACCATCCAAGAAAGCAATCTTAGAAAGTTAAGGAAGAAGCAGAGGCAAAGAGTGAAAGGGACACATTCAGGGGAGGTTATGAAAAAAAATACAAAAAATAAATAAATAAATAAGGATTAGATTTGAAGATGGAGAAAGAAGAAAGTATACAGAATAACTCCAGGTTTTCAAGTGTTTATCATTGCGTGAACGTTGCTTTTGCAACATTCTCACTTTGGAAAAAAAAAAAACAGGCATACTTTGAGGAAAGTTTTAGACATTCAAATTTTACATACATTATTGTTACAGCTCCTGAAGGATATCCGATAGGAAGCGCACAGGATTTGTGGATAAAAAGTCTGGAGTTTAAGA